AAGGAAAAAAGCGCAGTTTCTTACCATGGTAACAGTGGTTCTGCAAGGAAATTAAATATATGTGTCTGTGCTCTGCTCGCCTTTGCTGCTTTTTGGAGTTTGAAGGAAATCCCTGGTTTCATAGGGAGTCACAGAGATTTGCATAGGATTGGTCATGAATATATAGACTGTTTTGCCAGAAGCTGAAGATCAGCATTTATACATTTAAGATTGGTATAATAATACCAACTTCATTCATAAAGGCCTTTGTGGTTTATGGATGAAAAATATTATATAAAGGCTAGTTATTATCTGTGCAAACTGGTTTTATAGAGCCACAGTTACTAAAGAAGTGTTCTTTGACAAAGACAACAAAATGATTAAGTTTGCAGTCTTCATCACAGTTGTATTTCTTTTTCCTTTTGCTTCTGTTTCTGGTGTTTGTGTAAATCTGTGAATACTTGGAAACAGCTTTTGAAAACATGTTTACAGACATTCCTAATGAGACTTTTTGGAATGTAGCTAGTATTTAGAAAAAATAATAATGTAGGCTGAAAAAGCATGCATTTTCCAGTATTTTTTGTTCAGATCTCCTTGGTAAACATTGATTTTTCTTTTTTTTTCTTGTGATTCAAATGGAGCTTGAAATTAAAATACTTCTGTTTGTTCACCTTCTTGTTTGCCTGCCACCATCGCTGACCTCAGCACTAGTCTAGGAACAGATTTGTTAATCATTTTTACTCCTTCTGATGGCTTTTACAGTAACAGAGTTCAAATTATGTAGATCCTGTACAGCAGTAACTGTCACTCAGGTTTCTCAGTAACAAATGCTAAATTAAAACAAAGCATTGCAGACAGGCATAGAATCCCCCAAGACAGGGCTGGGAGGGTCCCTCCAAGTGGTTCCCTGTTACTTCTGTAGTAATGAGGGATCTGTGAAGGTGCTGAGTACATAACAAATGAGTCAGTCCCATGCTTCTCTTGTTGTACCCTGAGCAGTCCTTCTGAATTCAGGGGCACTTTAACATACTTAAAATTTAGCAAACACTTAAGTGTGTTTAGCTGGATAAGGCCCAGGTCCTTGGTGTGTAATAAAATCAAGTCTAAATTCTGCTGTGTTACGGAGTCTTGCATGAAGAATTCCAGCAATGAGTGTAACAGCTCTTTGACACACTGCTCATATTTTACTAGGATGTATTTACCAATACCCAATTCAGAAAATAGCACTGTTCCTTTTCTGTCAAAGTTGAAATCCTCTGTCCAACTTGTTTTTTCATTTTGGAGTGTTCAGTTTCCATTTCTTCCTTTTAAATGAAGGTGATGTTCGCTATAAAACCAGACCTATTGTGGAACAATTACAGTAAATATTTTTATAAATCTTACAAATAGCCCAGGGTCCAATGTTTAAAAACAGAACTAGAAGGAGCTACAAAATGTTCTCCATCTGAGTTTGCACCACCAGTGTATATTGTTGAGTAAATACACAACAAATACATGCCCAGGCAATCTGCAAGCTGAGTGGCTACCCAGATGGGAGATCGAGGCACGCACAATGAATATATGATGCTTTACATGGTTTGAAAGTGCAAAGAAAAAAATGTGTACAAACATGTTTGCTAAACCAAATAATTATTTCATGTATCTTTTTCCATTGGTTACTTAGCATAGAAGGATGTGTGAATTTTTAATGCTGTAAATTAATCCTACTCTGGCACATATTATGCTGTGAGCTCGTAAGTGAAAGATGTGATTTACATGCAGGATTTGGATTTTCAGTGGAGTATTCTGAGAAATGCATAAGCGTTTTCAGTGGAGGTAAAGTTTGAAGGCCTCTAAGTGGATGGCACTGGCTGTCAGCATGAAAAACTATCCCCCATGATTTAATCAAGAAAGGCCACCTTTGTCAGGAGGTGGAGTTGAAGGCGTAGATGGCCCTCTGCCCTCCCAGGTGGAAGCAATGTGACAGGTGGTGCAATGGCAGAGGCTGTCAGATACCAGAGTGGAAAGGAGGGAAAATAATCTTTTGGATAATCAAAGAAAATACTTTTTTCCTGAGCTATCTATGCCTTTTCTAACAATGGCAATTATTTCTTTTTGCCTTACACTAGTTAATGATTGCTGTTTTATTTAATAAATTGGATACAGAATAAACAAGTTAGAGTTTGCTATTGACCTATCAATTATGATGTCTTATTACTCCTCTGGGGAACATATGTAGTCATTTGTCCTGACATTTTGTTAAAATAAGGTGGTATTATGGGACCAATCCACCTAATTCCTTACTCCCTGGGGCCATTTAGTGTACTTAGCTGTTAGAAAGGTGATTTCTGAAGCATGACAGCTGTTGGTGTTGGGGCCATTGTGTGGTGAACAAAAACGGTTATATTCTACTCATATGCTGCCTTTGTATCATTGATACAGAAGCCATTTCATAAATTAGATACAACCCTTCCCGAGGAAATTGTATTACTGCTTTGTATTTCATTGTTGGAGTACATTTGAAGAGAAAAAAAAGAAAAAACAACACAGGACTGCAGTAGAAGGAGATGTTTGAACTCGGCATTGCTGTAAGGTCTGTTGGGTTTATCCTATTAGCTGCTGACATTCCTGTCTAGTTATTTTGGTTGATTAGGTACATTACAAGTAGTTTCTCTTTGTGGTTTTTTTTTACTATTTTATTAATTTTGTTAAAAGCCACGTTTCAGCAAAAGCATCACTAATGATTTTTCTTCCAGAAGGCATTGCTTTTCTAGAAAGTTGCAGCTCTCTGTGTGCAGCAAAAAAAAGCCTGTCAGAGTTCTCATCTGCAGAGTTCACAAACCCAAGGAATTTGAATACTAAGATTAGGGTCTTACACACAGTATCCTCAACGCCTGTTTGTGGTGCCATGAGATCTTTGCAAGTGTCAGCGCTTGTGATGTCAAACGTTGTAGTTGGGGTATGCCCATTTAGTATGTTATAAAAAACATAGTCCAGGTTTTATTTTAAGCAGTGGGGGATGCATTTAAAAATTGGCATCAGTTGTTCTCATTTCTTAAAATCTCTTCCAGTGATGTACATTGTCAATGAAATATAAAAGATTTTTTCAGTTTCTGAAATGCGGAAATGTTATAGATATATTTTCCTTTATGATCAAACCCCTTTTTACTGGCAAATCTTGCTGTAAGAAGTGTTTAACCATGTTAAAAAGCACTAGCTTTGGATTAGATCATTAGGCTTGTTTGTAGAGACTTGTAGATATAACAACCATTTGGGCAGCATGACAGTTGTTCTGTGGCTTAGCCCTGGCTGGTCAAGTCGTCCCTCGGTGCAGGCTGCCTGTGAGACTGCGAGCATGTGCTAGGTTTCACACATTTGACTTCTCCATGGAGCAGCCACCATTGGCTACTTACCATATACTTTTTAAGATATCTTCTGGAATTTTCTTAGTCAAGTCTGGTCCCTGAGATGAATCTGGCTCACCACTGGATGTCATCATTGCACTGTGATGAACTGCAACCGGAAGAACATTTATCTGGCAGTAAAAAATAGCATTGCCTGACCAAAGAAGACATTTAATTTTGTCACCTTTCCAATTACTTGCTATACAGTGATGACAGTTTGCAAGTAGTTGGTCCATAATCCTTCCTTAAGGTATAGGCCAGCACTCTAGTGTGTTACACAGACAATTCTCCACCTTCTGTAGTGGGGCTATGCTGAAATCTCAGCTGTGGGTCTCTACCACTGCAAAGACATGGTATAAAAGATCTCTTGGGGATCTCAGTGTTCCATGTACTTCTTGAGAAGGCCAATGTCATTACCGTAGCTTTAAAATAAAATACTTATTCTTCACATATTGAGTTACTCTGTCAACTAATATATAGAGAATGTATTTCTACTGTAATTTCATAGGAGGAATTTAGAGGACTTAATTTTATTAACCGTCTGTCTCCTATTTGTAATACAGGAAAACCTGTTAGAAGTCTTAGACTGCTTCCTGCCTAAGTAGCACAGCAGAAATATATAGAAGTGTCTGACAAATAATAAAAGGAGCTCCATTTTCTATTTGTCTCTTCAGTGCATTTATGAATCTGCAGTTATGCATTCTGTGAAATGGGAATGTATACAACCCAAAGCAATAAGAAAAATGTGAAGTGTGTTGTACTGCAAGATGGAAAGTATTTCCCTGCCTTTCATCAGAAATTTGAAAATTAAATATAGTTCAGGGCAGAAAAAAAATTGTCAGGTGCAATGTTATCTCTTGGCCCTTTCTTGCATATTTGTTTTTGAGAATCTCTGTGAGCTAGTGAGACCTAGAGACACCAATTAAAAAAAAAAATGGAGTTTATTGTCTTAACCAGTGTATGCATTAAGAAGAATGGAAACTGAGAAGCTAGTAATTAAAAACTTTATAGTAAGATTTTTGGCCAGAGTATTGATCTCAGTGGCATTGAGATACTAGTTTACTCATTTGACAGCCTGGCTTTCAGTGTAGCTGCTCTATATTTAAGAAAAAAGAAGGTGAATTCCACCATTTTGGAAGAGAGTTTTCAATTAAACACACAAAGACACTCAAGATATAGGTTCCTAATTAATTTATAAGTAAGACTATTTCCATAAATAAAACAGCAAGAGTAAAAACTGCTCTAGAAGGTATAAAAATGGCCTTAACATTATGTAAATATATGTTCCCCAGGTGTTAGCTAAATGGTAGTAAATTATAGAAGAGGCGGTGTTTTTTCCTCTCTTACAAGGACTCCATAGCATCTTTTCTGGGAGAAGCCAGACCATTAAGCTCTGCTAATTTTCTGTAACCTATTAAGCATGCACATATTTCAATATTTTAGTACCATTTATCTACCATTTATCTTGTGCTGTGCACAGAAAAATCATAGTATTAGTCATGTCAGTGAGCCATAATAAGTTTTGTATGAATGCAAGGTAATGCATTACTGATGGTTTAATGATTCTTAGGAGACTTTTGCTGGTTTGTTTTGTTTTTTTTTAATGCATTTCTATATCATTTTACATATTTTTTACAGTTGAGTTATTCTTTGAACCACATAAATCGAAAGCTGGTACTGGCATCTAAAGCATCTATCAACACTAGAATTGTGGTGGTTGGCGCATCTGATGTTGGAATCTCTTTTCTGGAAACCCTCATTTTTTGGTAAGTTTTTAATTTGATTTCCTTTACTGAGAAGAATATGTTACCTTTTGTTTGACGGGGCTTGCTTCTTCCATTTAGAAGCAGGCTTTGAGTCTGTATCCAAGTACTAGATGTTAAAGGTCTGAGTGTCTGCAGATGTAAATAGATAGGTGCTTGTATCCTGGCTGATTCTGGGACTCAAAAGTGCTGACAGAAGGCATGCTGAAAATGAGAATTCCACATACTTAAAATCTATTTGACTGTTGTTCTTATACAAAAATACTATAGGTGGAGGTTAAGTTCATAGCCCTTCACGTGTGCTCCAAAGCAGTATTGATCTTTAAAGCTAGTTGTGCCCAGTGGGATCACAAATCACTGTCTGAATCCCTCCCTTCTCTTACCTCGTTGTGATGCTGTGTTTTCAGAGCTGTGCAGAAATGTACAACATAATCTTGTTCAGTTGTAATCTCACTGTGATTCTTCTGATTCTGATAACACTTTTTGATATGTTTGATTCTGATGAGGCTTTTGATGTTTGGGATTGTTCAGGAACCAAAAAATGGTCAATTCTGACCCTTCTGCCATTTCTGCTGTAGACCTGAGAGTGGGTGTGGGAAAGGTCTAGCAGAGGATACTGCTTTCCGTCAGTCTCAGCCTGCTCGGTGGCCCACTAAGAGCACAGGCCGTCAGCATACATTAAAGAATTTTTCAGCAGTAAAGCTGCAAATTGAATTGCAGTGGTTACCTCGAGTTATCCAAACTGGAGTAAATAAACTGGCTGAGAAGGGGAATAAATGTATGCACCTGTTTTTACACCTTCCACTGTCTAAGCCAGAGTAAACTTGTGGACAAGTTCTGCTGTTTTACACACTTTCCAAAGTTAGGACAGGGGTGCCCTCTTTCCGACATCTCACTGCTTGCAGCTTCTATGTAAGTACCCCCTCCATACCAGTTTAGGGGGTTATCAGGAAGTCAGACCGTGTATGTGAGAATGCAATTCCTTTTATGCATTTGTTGTTTTCCTCATAGATTAAACATACGTACTAGAAATGTCTTGAAAGACTTGCAGAAATGAGTATTAAATTAATTCTAAATGCGATTGTTACAACGAAATGTTTATTACAAAAACTAGGGGAGGCTGGCATTTTTATGGTTGGCACAGAATTGAAAATTTTGCCTGGGTGGTTGGGTTTTTTTTTTTTTCAGTTAAGCCAAGAGTTTGTATTTCTACAACAACCATTAATAACATCACAAATTAAAATATCAATATGGCAAGAGAAGAAAAAGTTGAAGTGCTTTATGGATCTTGTTATATTGCTGGAGCAGTGAAAAAAAAATACCTGCTTCTTGCTCTTTTTTCTTAGTTCCTGACTTCCTGTAGAGCATCCCCTCTTGGGGTAAAATCATTTTCCCCTCATCCTTCTGTTCTCAGCTTTCAGTTCCACTCAAAATTCAGTTAAAAATGTACTTTAGAGCTACTAGCCACTTTCTTGTTATTCATCCTGTGCTATTTATTAGTACGCTTTCAGTATAATATACTGTGAGGGAAAAACAAAGCATATTTACACTCCAAGTCAGTCAGCCAGAAGCTAAGTTCTTCTGTAGTGAACAGGTCGTACAGATAGTGTTGTGTCTGTCGGGCAATCCTTTATAGGTATCCTCCTCTGAGATACCTCAACCAAGACTTTTCAGCGAGAAGTTTTGTTTGAACCATATTGTAGCCAAGAGTTCTTGCAGAACATGTCCTTGTACATAGGGGAGAGTGCTTGTCTTCAGCACTGCACAAACAGAGTGCTCTCACATAAGAGAGATTGAGTATTGCTCTGAGAATGCAAAAAGCAAGCAGTCAGCACTTAGTGCAAAATGTCACAGAATTTATATTAATATATGTGTAAATTTAAGAGATGTGGTTTTTTTAATTTTCACATCATCAGCAGATGAAGTCTCCTGATCAATGTAAAGGCCTTTTAATACAATTCAGTTTAATTTACTCATAATTTTCTAATATTCTTTGTAGAGGTTACATGCACTAAAAATAGCTAGATTGAATCAATTTGTAAGCCCCTAATCCTTAAAAAGAGGAAGTAGTTTTCTCCTCATTATTCTTCATACTTAATTATTCTACATTATCAGTGACCATGGAAACACACAAATGTAATTCACTTACCTACATAACAATTATTAGAACTAGATTTTACAAGTGTTTTCAACTTCTTTGAGACTGAAGAAATACATTTTTCATTGAACAGAGAAATAATCACGAGCATTACCTCTCCTCACTCAAGAGCTATAGCAGGCTGCCTCTCGCTCCCATTGTGCTGGGGCAGTGGCATTGCACTTGGCAGCACGTCCGCCGCCACAGAATGCTCCGGGGGCAGTTCAGCGTTGTCGTTCTTTGAGCAGTGCTGCGGAGCAGCCATGGGCACCACTTCTTATCCACCTGAACCGAAAATGAGCTTTGTAATCCATGCTGCGAAGGGGGAGTTGGTGCTGTGAACCATTATCTTACAAAATGCTGCTTCAGTCTTTCGCTGTGGCTCGTTACCTTGCTGTTGGAGTTTCTGGAAACAGAGATTGTCATAGAGGTCAAGGCAGTGGTGCACCCAAATCGGGTGCCAGTTATTTCAAAGGGCGGTGCAGAAATCCTGCAAATGAGTACGTGGAATGACCTGCTAGTAGGGGAAGCTTCTTCCTAATGCTGGGGGTACTCTGAGCCCTGGAGAATTGCGTCCATTGTGCTTAATCTAACGCTAGGTCAGTGAAGGTGATCTCATTATTCATGTTTCACCATTCAAATAAATACCCCTGCTGATTTTTTTTCTTGGAGTGTAATCACATGCAGGCATGTGTTTTCAGCTATAGTGCTACTTTTCTTTAGGATGCATATGAATTTTTTGTTCAAGAAACAGGCGAATGATGGAGGTGGCAGTGCCAGCAGTAATGCAGACAGAGCCTGGCCTCCCTTCTTGTGCACGGCTGGCTGTCGGTAGGTACAGGTGCGAAAGCGGCTCTGGAGACTGCACCTCGGCTGTGGCTGTCCAACACGTGAGGAGCTGCAGCGAGCTAGGCAGCAGAGCTGAGGCACTGTGGAAGGGGGGGGAGGGAGTTGCATCATAAATTGCTGCAGTAATTAACTTCCCTGCAGGAGCGTGGCAAGCAGGGAAGGAATTGTTATTCCCACAATTCCTGCATGAGGCTCCTCCTGGGCAGTGCAATTATATGCTTCCCCTTGCACAAAACCAGGACTTAGGTCACTCTCTAGCGCTAAGACAAGGCTTATATAAATTGCGGCAGCATCAGACCATTTGTTAAAGCAGTGTAAACTCTGAGTGATGTCCAGTCCTAAAGGAGAAGCAGCAACTGAACAAATACCCCTCTTGTGAAAAAGCAGCTCAGCCAGCAACACGAAGTCTCAGCCTCTATTGTTCTCTGCCCTCCAAACTGTTAGTGCTGACTGGCGCTCCTGCCTCCCCTTTGTTGTAGGATGTGGGGAGAAAGCCTTTTCAGCCTCGGAGTGAATCAAGTCAAAGAAACTCCAAAGAGAGGTTAAGCTAAAATGCAAGTTTTGTTTATTTTTAGTTTCCCTTGAGTGACTTGGTTTTGGGGGTGGGGGTTGGAATTAAAAGAGAAAGAGTTTTATCAGATGTTCTGGTAGATATGTGCGTGCAGTACACTTGCAGTACTATGAGCCACTAACATTGACAAATTACCATGAATGAAGACCCTAAAAAGGAGTCTGTTTTAAGACTAAAGAAAGTTTTAAAAAAGTTACCCTTTTTTTGCTATCCCCACTGAGATCAATTATGCGTATACTAAATTTATAAATGAAAAAAGCTGGTTTAAATATTCAACCTGCAAGTATTCAATGAAAATTGTATCTGAAAATGATTTGCAAGTGTAAAATCTGTTTTCATGAATACAGAATCTCTGTACCTATGAATAGGAGAAAAGGAGTAATGAGTTCAGTTCAGAGTTCTGCAAGTACCAGTTCTTGGAGGTGAGGTTCAGCAGGAGAAGTATCAACAGCAGTTAAAGAATTTATTTAAAAACCTGTGAGCAGCTATAATTGGGGATGCTGAGTTGCATAGTCCTCAGTTAAACCAGCGTTCCCCTAAATGTATATCCTGATGAATGTAAGATATAGCCCAGCATTTTAATCTTTTCATATTCACAAGTACTGAGATGCTTTAAAAAATAACCTCATTGCTAAATACCAATTTACCAGGAGGGCAGGTTTTTTTTTTTTGTTTCTTCTTGTTTCCTTTGATAATTTAAGAATGATGGTCATGGCAGCAGTGTTAGGCCAGAAGAACATGTAATTAAAAAACCTCAGCATTCTCAGTTTATTCTGGTGGAGGATTCATGGAACAGCATGCTAACTAGTATGCCCTGACAGCAGGTGATTGAAGTTTGGCTGCAAGAACGCAAAAAGCTTGCTCACAGCAGTATCTTGTCATTGGTTCCAGTGTAGTGAACCAATTAGCTTTTTATCCACCTCTTTGCATATAGCTGTGGAAAGCGTTATTGTCTTCTGATTATAGGGAAAACCCTTTTTAATCCATGATTTTGAAAACCTACTTAATCCAACCTCTGGTGTAAACAATGACTTATTCTCTGAGGACGTTGGAAATATACATAATGTGCTGCACAAAATAGCAATAAATGAATGGTGGCTAAGATCACAATATTTTATATGAAAATGTTGTGAAATATATTTCCCTTTCTATGCAGGTACATTAAAATAATTATTGCATTTAAAAAGCAAATGGATTAAAGTACATTTTTGTTAAAGCTCTGAACTTTTTTCTTAAAGTAGAATTAGAACCTAACACAGTAAATCTGTGAGGTTTTGTCTGCAGGACGGTTTCTCCCTTTGTGAGTTAAAGGTATCTAAGATTAGCTTAGAAATGGCAGGGATTTTTAAAACACGGTTTCTGACAGAACAGCTACAACTGCCGTTATCTGGCAGCACAGTATTATACAATATCCTGCACATCTGTCCTGTTTGGCAATAGTTAGCA